ATATTTATAAATAGCCTCTGGTCTTCTGAAATTATGAAGCGACCCACTGCGTCTTGTTCTCCTCTATTGACCTGGTGAATCTTTCTCACGTTATCTGTTTTTTAGGCACGGGTTTTGTATAGCCATCCTATGGTGAACGGTATGCGGCCATGTTCTCATTTTCTTGCTGGAACATGTCGATTCGAAGGGAAGTGCAAGTTCAGCCATGGAGAGATTGTTTCCATGGCCGATCTGAATGAATACAAGGAGCCAGATTTCAAGTAAGTCTTTTGGTAGTGTACTAGTGCTATGCCATACCAGCTTATTGACACAGCACTTACGAGGCGTCATTGTAGTCAGAATATCATTTCAAAGATTTATCTCTTCCTGAATGATTTGAGCGCTAGATTTCTAATCAGCCTTCCCATCCTTAACCGTCAACGTTAAGCTGTCGGTGCGCCATAGGATCACAAAACAGGGCTGAACTTTGGGTGCTTCAGAGGTTTGTTGTGTAGACAGGCTGTGCGTTCAATTTATTTGCCTACATTTTTCTAATTGGGTAAAATGTTAGGTACATCTTTGAGGATCCGAATTACGGCGATCTCTCCTTATTTTTCATGCAGTTGGGCTATTTATACTATCGAGCTATCCTTCCCACCAAGGAATCGCTGCAAGATATACTACCTTTCTTATTCACCTGTTTTAGCACACTGACTGTAGGAAGTTTGGTGTTGGTCTCTGTGACAACATCGCCACCTTTGTGGGAAATTGGTCGTCTTATGGCCATTGATCATGGCGAGGTTGCTGTGAAAGTTATTGAAGAACAACAGTGAGGTATCTTCTAAAATGGACCATATTGTGCCATTAGATGGTGAAATTGAAGGTGATTGCTCCATTTCACTTGGACCTTCCTAATTTGAATTGTGATTTTGTAGATATAAGCGAGGATTTGCTGTCGCCTTCGGTCAGTCATGAATTTTCAAGTGACAGTAATGAGAAGAATGACTCATGGCAAGAGCAGAAAGGGTCACGTTGTGGGAATGTAACTGTCGGCGATCTTGGAGATTGGCATGGTGGTGGATTCGGATTGAAGCTGATGCAAAAGATGGGCTACAAAGTCGGCGAGGTTTGAAGAAATATTATTGTTGTTATACTTCCTTTTATAATAACCACAGACAACTGGCATTTTGCGCATGAGTGGCCAACCACTTTGTTCTTTCCTCAATGTTGACTCTGCTGACATGTAATGCAGTGTGGCTTGCTGCAGCCTTAATGGGGAAAGGCTCTGCGGTGCGGACACGCCGCAGCTACATGACTTCATCGTTACCAAGAAGTCAATCTAATCTTTTTTTTTCTAAATCCTGTACTCACTTATAGGGACTTGGCAGGAATAGTGACGGGTATCGTCCATGCCATTCAAGCAAAGATCTGCCCCAAAAGTGAGCAGCATCTTAGAATTATACTCGATTTGAGTATGAGGCTTACGCTTCGTTTTCTAGATAGTTCGGTTGATGCCTGCATGAATGCGCGGAAGAAAGTGGTCGATGGTATGCAAAAAGTGAGTTTTTGTTCGTATCTATAGGAGTTTTCTTTGCAGTTGGACAGCGTAAAAAGTCATAATTTCAACTAATTGTGCGGGCTTGCTCTGCATATGCACCATTTTTCAATTTCTTTTTTTTACAGTTTTCTCGCTCTTTACACTTTGTTAATTATAATTCAACTTCCAAGTTAAGTTTCTTGTCGTGTATTGCAATTAACATGAGCCTTTGCTCAGTACTTCTCATTCTATTTATTGCCTTATTCTGCAGGAGTGTCAGGTGTTAGTGTAGGTGTAGATCATGCAAACTTTTCTGGAAAAAATTCGAGAGGGTTGATGCCAGTTCCAGGATCTTTAGCCCTGCGTTGTCCCTTTCATAAACTGAAAGCTTTGAAGCCCCTCTAGTATTACGGCGGCATCGCCGATCAGTTCTTCTGATGACAAGAAAGAGTAATGATTGCAGGTGAAATCACGAGTGCGAGAGGAGATAAAACACGCCCACGACTCACTAGATGCCGATATTTTTTCTTTTTTGAATCGAAAATTAGAGCAGCAGTCAACGAAAACAGAACATGAAGAGATCAAAGAAGATATTCGCATGCTTGCAAAAAGCAGTACGAAGTAATTCAGTTTTTTTGCTTATTTACATATCGTTTTTCTTTCTTCTGCTTCCATCTGAAAGTCGTAATGAGAGTAGAGTAGCAATCTGATCCACTTCAGGTCGCTCGGTGTTAAAGGTATCGATCTCGAATGTGAACTCAAACAATTGCGTGGCAAGGAGAGGAAGTTGCGAGAAGTGGGTAGATTAAAATTTAGCGTTTGTCGCGTGAATGGTAGGCAGTTTCGTCACCCTGTTACTTAGGGATAGACTGAAAGTGAGCATTAATTGTAAAAGAATGCAGTGGGAGCGGTGGTCGCTGACTTCTTTCTTTCTTCTCAATGAGTTTTATAGAGTAGAAAGTTTATTAAGCTCAAATTTAGTGAAGGACTAAGGCCACGGTCATGTCTTTCACCTCAGGTCGTAGTCGCAAGATCGCAGGATCGACAGATATCTAATCCATGCTCGAACAGCAGGTGAAATGCAGTAGGGTTGTTAGGTATGAACGAGGAAGGCATGTCTCACCTGGGTGAGGGCGCATTAATACATCTGACGCTGCTTGGAATGCCTTTCAGCTTGGAATGTGAGCCTGGGCCTGGAATATCAGTCTGGAATGTGCTTTCAAACGTTCTTATGGGTTTCAGATGGTCTCTGCATCATAATCAGATATCAGTCTTTTGGAACCCCTAATGTCAATATCAAGCACAGTACCTAAGCCATCACAACCTTTCCGGCCATGCCCATAACCTTTCCGGCCATGATCAAGTACTCAGTTTGAGAAGTTGGCGGCTTACCTCGACAAGACGCGCGCTCCACTGTGACTGACTGTGGGGCTCACCCGAAGTGGCTGGAACTATATACTGAATACATAAATTTATATATGATGTGCTTCAGAGAAGTTTGAGGGTTGCAGGTGAATATGAATTGCGTTAGAAGTTGCTATTATCGGCTAATCAGTAATTCGCCAGCTTAACAGGATAGTGAGGGTTCCTTTGACAAAAATTAGCTAGATTTATTCGAAATCGTCAAAAACGTTCCGTGGCAGGTGTGGATTGTGGGGGTGGTGAAAGGTGTGTGGGTAAACGTGAGACGAATATCATCTGCTTACATTTTGTCTCTGCAGCGGTGCTGCTTATGCACATGCCTTCTGGTTAGTTCCACTGTGCTACATATGTGATTAATTCGGACTGGTTTAAGGGTATTGCTCGCAATAAACACGACAAACGGACAGTGGATCGGATGAAAGTACAGTTGGCTGAGTTGGAGAAAACAATCGAAAAAGTGCAAGCAAAACAACAGCGAGTTCATTCGGAAATCGACGATCGACAGAAGAAGAAAAAGAAAGACATATTCTGAAAGGAATTGTATGAGTATAAATTGTTCGCCTATTTGCTAGACTCTGTATGGTAGTTGTGATTCGTGCACACATTTACTTCATCCTGTGGAGACCCCTCCGTATCGACGTTGCTTTCTGAGCAGTCTCTCTCCCAGAGATAAGCTGATCAGGGAAGGTGAATCAAAATTCAAATCTGAGCTGGTTGAGAGGGCAACGTAGTGTATCCGTACAACTTAGTGCATCGCCCAAAAAATGGCAGGAGGCAGAGGTAAGAGAATTTTTGCTCTATAGGTTGGGTCTTGGAGCACTCTACTACTATGACATCTTC